TCTACGTAGATGTAAGTATCATCTACGTAGATGTAAGTATTATCTACGTAGATGTAAGTATCATCTACGTAGATGTAAGTATCATCTACGTAGAAGTAAAGTATCATCTACGTAGAAGTAAAGTATCATCTACGTAGATGTAAGTATCATCTACGTAGAAGTAAAGTATCATCTACGTAGATGTAAGTATTATCTACACAGATGTAAGTATCATCTACGTAGATGTAAGTATCATCTACGTAGAAGTAAAGTATCATCTACGTAGATGTAAGTATTATCTACACAGATGTAAGTATCATCTACGTAGATGTAAGTATCATCTACACAGATGTAAGTATCATCTACGTAGATGTAAGTATCATCTACACAGATGTAAGTATCATCTACGTAGATGTAAGTATCATCTACACAGATGTAAGTATCATCTACGTAGAAGTAAAGTATCATCTACACAGATGTAAGTATCATCTACGTAGATGTAAGTATCATCTACGTAGATGTAAGTATCATCTACGTAGATGTAAGTATCATCTACGTAGATGTAAGTATCATCTACACAGATGTAAGTATCATCTACGTAGAAGTAAAGTATCATCTACACAGATGTAAGTATCATCTACGTAGATGTAAGTATCATCTACGTACAGATGTAAGTATCATCTACGTAGATGTAAGTATCATCTACACAGATGTAAGTATCATCTACGTAGATGTAAAGTATCATCTACGTAGATGTAAGTATCATCTACGTAGATGTAAGTATCATCTACGTAGATGTAAGTATCATCTACGTAGAAGTAAAGTATCATCTACGTAGATGTAAGTATTATCTTCACAGATGTAAGTATCATCTATGTAGAAGTAAAGTATCATCTACGTAGATGTAAGTATTATCTACACAGATGTAAGTATCATCTACGTAAAAGTATCATCTTCGTAGATTAAAATATTATATACGTAGATGATAAAAACAGTTTAGATTGTGACCTAATACTTCTCTTTAGGATACGTAGGCATTGAGTGACGGCCTCCTTCCCATAGCTGTACCAAAGGTTGAAGGCACAGGCACCAAGGGACTTAGTTGCTCTTGTGCCTACTGCAATGTGTAACTTCTAAACAATCAGCAGTTACCTTTAAAGAATTTGAACATAGGTAATGGTAACATAGAGAAAATACTTCTCTTACCATATTTGATGAAATTTATATTGTCGATAATTTCAACAGCAGGAACTGGAAAATTATTCATTTGTAAAGTTGACATATCAATATCATTGTGTAACTTCAAGACCATCAGCGGTTCTTAGTTACCTTTAAAGGCTTTAAATAGGCTACTTCTCTTACCATACTATACCCGTGAAGGTCCGGGTTAGAATATTGGTCTTCAGTAACCCATGCTTGTCGTAAGAGGCGACTAACCTGATCGGGTGGACAAGCTCGCTGACTTGGTTGACACATGTCATCGGTTCCCAATTGCGCTGATCGATGCTCATGCTGTTGATCACTGGATTGTCTGGTCCAGACTCGATTATTTACAGACCGCCGCCATATAGCTGGAATATTGCTGAGTACGGCTTAAAACTAGACTCACTCACTCTTACCATACTTGATAAATTGTCGGTAATTTCAACGGCGGGAACTCGAAAAGCTGACTTGGTTAATCCTTATGATGTCAATCACTTGATTGTCTGGTCCAGACTCGACTAGGTACATAGAGCTATTATAGCTAGAGCAGCTGGAGTTCGTCGTTAGATAACAAAGAGTTCTCGTAGGCACAGAATGGACTAGGAACGTCGTGAGCCGCAGTCATTTATTGTAATCATCCAATCCATTTTAAGTTTACTGTTACAAGTTCTGGGCACCTAGTCTATAGGGAGCACCGCTGAAGTAACGCAGGGTAAAATCTTACAGCATCATAGCTGACTAATGCGACGCTATAGAAACAACGCTATCTGTTAATCTGAATAAAAATAAACATTGACGGTACCAGTCAAGTTGTTCTGAAGGCAAGGTACCAATAGCAACAAGACCAAGACTGGCTAAGTTTTCTTAGATAACATACGGTTAATCATTTTCCCAGTATGAGTTCGAATCCCATTTAGTCCTATAATGAATTTTGGACTGTCAGGACCATACCGGTGCTTGTTACAAATGTATGCGTCCTGTTTTACTCTGCCTCTGTTGAAATATGGACATAATGTGTTCAGCGGCGTTAAAACTCACCCATTAAAATGAAAAATGTGCTTTGCTGGCTTTTTAATGACAGTTTGCTGTTGCCGGTGAGCCGAAATTGAAAGTTGCCGCTATACGTTACGGACTAATTGGGAAATCCATATAGTTCTATCACTGAACCTTATAACTGTCACACCAGTAGGCCTTATTATACCAAACGCATCAAATAAGGTTCTGAATTTATTAGGTATCGATCTGCCGAAGGAAGTCAAGAGATGCTTATTACTTCGTTATACCATCTGTTGCAGAGTGCCTGGTACAATGAGTTTGTTGCCCTTGAAGACCCTGGTAAGAATTGGTCTTCAGCTTCCCGTGCTTGTCGTAAAAGGCGACTAACGGGATCGGGTAGTCAGGCTCGCTGATTTGGTTGGCACATGTGATCGTATCCCAGTTGTGTAGATCGATGGTCATGATGTCCACCACTGGATTGTCTGGTCCAGACTCGATTATTTGCACACCGCCGCCATAAAGCTGAAACATTGCTGAGTGCGGCGTAAAACTATACTCACTCACTCACTCATTTGAGTAGGTGTAAGACTTAACAACACGTTGACAATTTACGACTTAGATTATCTATAAATAATCACAATAGTATTTTTAAAAAAATACCACTGCACTTAAAGCTCGACACACTTTCAATTATCAACTTTCTTTCATACAGATACCAGTAGGCTATGGAATAACCTTTCTCAGGAATGTCAACTTCCCCTTACTTTCGTCTTTCAACTGTAATGTCACCAATACAGTTACACGCTTGTTACTTTTTATATGTGATAGAATAGCAAACATACGTCATGCTCGTTTAAGACAGAGATATAATTCTCTTTATGCTTCCATGGAGACAGTTTGTCGCAAATTGTATAGTACTTGTAAGAAAATCTATGTGGAAAAATCGATTACTTATTTGACTGGCCCTAATGAAATGTCATTAGAACTTCGTGTAGCTCTATATTAATAATGATAATGGATTTGCACAGCGGATAGTTTTCCCATGTTATCAATTAGAAGTCATCTTTCGATCCATATAGTTCCTCGCAGAGATAAAATATATTTTGTCAGTGATATATATATATATATATATACATATACATTGCTGAGTATTAGTATAATAAAATGTGATTATTTCAGAAACTTCTTCTTATATATGTACTACTGTACACTCGGTATTCTCATCACTTTCTTTATACATATATATATATACACACAACAGGTAATACTTAATGGCTGTTGTGGTAATTATGTTCTCCAGCCATATAATTTCAGTATTGTAGAGAATTTATCACAACATTTTATGTATTTTGTTACATTCAGTCCGAGACACATAATGTTTGGATACGTTACTCATACCACACTTAACAGCTTTCTGCATACACGTTATGACGACCAACAGTGATGATACACTTAAATGTATTTCTGACACTGTTGCATTACAACATATAGAACTTTCTTCTCACGCGTAATTGCGTCGAGGCACATTTAGTGTTTTTGTGACGATGGCTGGGTCTGTTACTTTCCGACATAGTGAACCTTCTACTTCAGGTTAGGGCAAGTTACATAGCTGAGACTGTTTTATGTTTTTGACACAGACGTGGGTGTCTTACTCTATCAAACATGGAAATGCAGCACACAACTACAGTATATTTCTGAAAACACAGAACTACTGGTTGCTCGGTATTGTGAGCTGCAGTACGGAGACACTTCCGTATGTTTCTGATACTTACATAGGTCCGCTACATTACAAAACACAGAACTCTCTGGTTACACGTTATAGTGAGCTACGGTACCGAGACACTTCTATATGTTTCTGATACTTGGATAAGACCGCTACATTACAAAACACAGAACTCTCTGGTTGCACGTTATTGTGAGCTACGGTACCGATCACTTCTATATGTTTCTGATACTTACATAGGTCCGCTACATTACAAAACACAGAACTCTCTGGTTACACGTTATTGTGAGCTACGGTACCGAGACACTTCCCTATGTTTCTGATACTTGGATAGGTCCGCTACATTACAAACCACAGAACTCTCTGGTTGCACGTTATAGTGAGCTACAGTACCGAGACACTTCTATATGTTTCTGATACTTGCATAGGTCCGCTACATTACAAAACACAGAACTCTCTGGTTACACGTTATTGTGAGCTACAGTACCGAGACACTTCTATATGTTTCTGATACTTACATAGGTCCGCTACATTACAAAACACAGAACTCTCTGGTTACACGTTATAGTGAGCTACAGTACCGAGACACTTCTATATGTTTCTGATACTGGCATAGGTCCGCTACATTACAAAACACAGAACTCTCTGGTTGCACGTTATAGTGAGCTACAGTACCGAGACACTTCTCTATGTTTCTGATACTTGCATAGGTCCGCTACATTACAAACCACAGAACTCTCTGGTTGCACGTTATAGTGAGCTACAGTACCGCATCACTTCTATATGTTTCTGATACTTGCATAGGTCCGCTACATTACAAACCACAGAACTCTCTGGTTGCACGTTATAGTGAGCTACGGTACCGAGAGCTACGGCACTTCTATATGTTTCTGATACTTGCATAGGTCCGCTACATTACAAACCACAGAACTCTCTGGTTGCACGTTATTGTGAGCTACGGTACCGAGACACTTCTATATGTTTCTGATACTTGCATAGGTCCGCTACATTATAACATATAAAACCTCCTGTTCAGATGATTTTGATGAGCTACAGTACATGTTGACATGTTTCTGACTCTGGTGCTGCTCTGTTCCAGGTGTGCATTGTCCAGAAGAAGGATACAAAGAAGATGTTCGCCATGAAGTATATGAACAAGAACATGTGCGTGAGGAAGGACGCCATCTTGAACGTGTTGCGTGAGGTGGAAATCATGAGGACATTAGACCACCCGTTTCTGGTGAACCTGTGGTTCACCTTCGAGGACGAGGAGGACATGTTCGTGGTGGTGGACCTGCTGTTAGGGGGCGACCTCAGGTACCACATGCAACAGGACGTGGACTTCACCGACACGCACGTCAAACTGTATCTGTGTGAGATAGCTTTAGCACTGGATTACCTCAGGAGTAGGAACATTGTGCACAGGTGAGGTCCCTGGTGTCGTCGTGAATGTGTGAATGAGCGATGTATCGCCACGGGGGGATGAGTGAGAGTGAGAGAGAGGTGAAGTACGGTGAGGTACGATGAGGTCAGGTGTCGGTCACTGGTGTCGTCGTATCGCCGCGGTGTGAATGAGCGATGTATCGCCGGTGGGGAAGGTGAGGTGAGAGGTGAGAGAATATGGTGAAGCCGCTACGGTGAGGAACGGTGAGGTGAAGTCAGGCGAGGTGTCGTTGTGAATGAGCGATGATGAGGCCACGGGGATGGGTGAGACAATGAGGAAAGGTGCGAAGTGAGGTGAGGTCAGGTGAGTTAAGGTACGATGAAGTCATGTGAGGTGAAGTACGATGAGATCAGGTGAGGTGAGGCGAGGTCAGGTGAGTTAAGGTACGATGAGGTCAGGTGACATGGGATCGTATTATCATGTAGGTAGACAATTAGCTGCTGAGAAAATGAGTAAATGAGTGAGAAGAACATGCATTACTTGTTGTTTCAGAACCATGTGTGGCCTCACCATTTGTACCATAATGTCAAGTCAAACCTAACCACCAGTTTCAGTTACAACACTAAGGGCTCTGTACTGATTGTAAGACTTTAAGTTGGACAGAGTGGCATGTGAGCGATATTGATTTGAAGTCACATGTAATACAGAACGTCAGTGCAAAGGAATACCCAGTCTAGGCAATCCCGAGAAACAAATTCCGTTTGGTGTAAAGGGAAAAAAGCTGTGGAAATTATATGATTGCACCACTGAATCAATGATGACAGCTGGTGTTCGCGAAAATCATGAACATGTCCTGCCCTACCATTAGCACCCGGGGGGCGGTGGGGTAGTCTAGTGGTTAAAGTGTTAGCTCGTCACGCCGAAGACCCGGGTTCGAATCCCCACATGGGTACAATGAGTGAAGCCCATTTCTTGTGTCCCCCACCGTGATATTGCTGGAATATTGCTAAAAGCGGCGTAAAACCAAATTCAGTCAGTCAGCCATTAGCACCCGCCATTGAAACATTAGCCTAAAATGGAAGTATTTTTTGTCTGACGCTACACGGCATTACTGCCATGCGGCAGCCTGGCACCAAACCAGAGAGTATGTGTTAGAATTGAAATTTTGTACGTTAAAGGCGATGATCATCTTTTGTACGTTTAAAATCGATTATCTTCTTGTCATATGACAGATACGGTTATACTTTATTACGTCCTGAGAATAACAGCCAATGTTCCCTTTACAAACTACACATTGCTGGTTGCTGAATGGCTGTAACAGGACCTTTCATGGAGGTATTACCTGACTGTTTCAAGATTCTAGTGAATGCTGTAACTGCAGAGAGGCTGTAGGTGTTGAACACCGCCAACTCAGCAGGATTAAATGATGACCTTAACTTCTCATATGACAAAGTGACCTTGATGCGTACATATCACGATTGACCTCTTGAAAAACCCGCACAGAATTGGTCTTCAGCAACGGTGCTTGACGCAAACGGCGACTAACGGGATCGCGAGGTTGGATTCGCTGACTTGGTTGTTGCATGTCATCGTATCCCAGTTGTACAGGTCGATGCTCATGTCAGCCACTGAACTGTTTCATTCAGTCTCGGTTATCAAAAGACCGCCACCATATACCTCGATTACTGAGTGTTGTTTCAGTATCCGAAGATAAGGTCGAGATAAAGGAGTTCCAGTTTTGAGTTCGAGATAAAGATCGTCACCCTGTTCACAAATGATTATCTTTACGCTGTTGCTTTTTGTGAGCCGTAAACGTCACATCCGGCTCTAAGCTGGTTCAACAGGATGTGCCTCCACAAAACAAAGTATAGAAACATGCAACGCAATAAATGGTACTCAGTCTTGCTTGTAAGTTGGATTTACACTTCATTACTATGCAGTTCCAGCAAGATGACTGACAGCCAGAATTGATCTCACATTGTGTTTCGATGTGGAGATTCGAACTGAAAGTTCGATTACCCGCATTAAACACTGGTGTCCCCGTACATCCGCTTCACAGATGTTTAAAAGTAATTATGGGAAACGTTTTCAGGTTTTCCTGACTTGTAAATGTGATTGTGTATTGTTTGAAATGGCAATATCCCAGCAATATCATGGCGGGGACACCCGAAATTGGCTTCACGCACTAAACATATGTGGGGAATCGAACCCGGGTCGTCGGCGTGACGAGTGAACGCTTTAACCACTAACCCAGTGAATGTGCATGATCTTGTATTGTTTTTTAGTTCTTAACTAAGTTGTTGAGTGCTGAATGTTTCTAAACGTGACGGTAATGTAAACGGTCACATCCTTTACGTGTCCTGCTCTTCAGACATGGAAGACATGCTGTTCAGTTCACTCGGAACGCGGGGCAGTGGGATAGCCTAATGGTTAAAGCATCCACGCGTCACACTGAAGACCCGGGTTCGATTCCCCACATGGGTAGAATGTGTGAAGCCTATTTCTGGTGTCCCCAGCCGTGATATTGCTGGAATATTGCTAAAGGCGGCTTAAAACCGTACTCGCTCACTCAATAGGGAGGAAAGTGTGGACAAGATCATCCGTGACCCGTGCAACTACTTGAACATGTTCTTGTCAGGTATGATGCGTGCCTTCTTTTGATCATTATCATCACTTGTCACGCTTGCATCCATTTCTTCATGTTCTGTATTTTGGGGTGAAATCTGGATTGTCTTGACTTGCTGTGCAAGCTGGTAGGATGCAGTCGTACATTCAGCCATGTCCTTCATTCCCTTGTGACTTTGGACTATACCGACGTACAAAAGAAAGTACACACCTGGTGTTTTTGGATTATTTGAAAAGTGTTGGGATTTTGACTGGCAACTTCGCAATTGGGCACGATATCTGTAATGCTTGGGGAACATATTAGGAACGTCTGTGACTTATATATCCCTGTAAAAAACTCTTTTCAAAACATTTACGCTTTTTGGAATGTAATCCAAAAGCACCGGGTGTGTACTTTCTTTTGTACGTCGGTTTATTTGGACTTGTTCTGATGCATTCGACCTTTCAGCCATGTTCTTCAAATCAGATGGCACGCGTGCGTACATCTGGACATGTTCTTCACTTGAGTTGTGACACATGTCACAATTTTGACATGTTTTGTATCCTTTCGCTACCTATCGGCCATTTTCTTAACTACAAGCAAGCAAGGAGCTACTGGAAGTACAGAACTCGTAAGATCTCATTTACCAGTATATTATTTAGCCCTAACAATACGCAACAGAGATTCTTCGTACCTCTACGTGACCTTGGCTGGTAAATTCTATCTATATAACAGAAGCTGCAATTTTCATTATGTCGTAAATGTCTACGATGTCGTTATCTACTGATTCTTTTGCTGAAGGTTAAATACATTTCGAACGGTTGTTGGAACCATATCTAGTGTGTCGTATTGCTTTGCCACAATTTTCGTTTAAATGCTCTGGCACAATTTTTATGCATATCGTATTTGATGGAAAACACGATTTACTGGAGATGAGTCGCAGAATACGCCTTAAACATATGCAGCTATTACCAGCTTCCAAATGCATTTGACTGCAAACCGACACTCTAGTCTTGGCCTTTCAGATGTGTTTTTGTTGATTATCACGTTCGTCTTGTAAAGGGATCCACCATGAAACGGAGATTCCAAGACACCGATGATCATTATTTTTATCCGAGATGTGGTTTTACACAAATGGGACATGAATAGAAATTACCATCTTTTTAATTTCCTTTGTTACCATGGATACACATCATTAGAGTACATGCGTATGCATTTCTCGAATTTAAATATCGCGTAACGTTAAAGAATCATGAAAAGTTGGGGGCTCTCGTATAACTTGCAACATGAACTGCTTCAAGCTCATAGTCCATGCCATCTTTTCTGAACACTGCCTTCGGATACCGACTCACAATGAGGGAATTTAGGTTAAGTCGATGATGAGGTGTTTCTAATCAGCATTCTTCAGGAATGGTACTAATGAAAGCGATTGGGCGAGTGTCTTGCAGATCTGAAGGTGCGATCGGCCATATCGTATAAAAACCAGCAAGCTGTTATCGGCAAGCCAATTTTCGCACACACACACTTCGGCTATGATTAATGCCCATACAAAATAATGTCGTTCTAAGCACTTGGGAAAAAGATCACCGTTTTATTAAAAGCAATCAGCTGGTTAAAACATCAATCTTGATTTTTTGCTGTTAACCAATTGTCTTTGCAATGAGAAAATAAGAATTTCTGTCAAAATTCATGTTCTTTAAACACGATGACAAGCCTCCAGCAGAATGTTAAAGACCGTTTACCCGACGAAGATTGCCAATAAAGACACAACGACATACATGTATAATTTAAAGCATTTCTGAAAGGGAGGGGCATTGTTACGTGCAACTTGAAGAAAAGAAGTGAATTGAAGCCTAAAATGAAACGTCTTGACATGATTTCAGAAGGCTGGTATTACTCCCAAGAGCCGTGCCTACCTGGTTGTGTAATGCCTAACTGGCAGTGGAGGTTTGCGTTCCTGAGGTATTATTGGAACCCGGGTTAGATCCGGGTTAGAATTGGTCTTCGGCAACCCATGCTTCTCGCAAGAGGCGACTAACGGTATCGGGTGGTCAAACTCGATGACTTCGTTAACACATTTCATCGTATCCCAGTTGGCATGCTGTTGATCACTGGATTTTCGGGTTCAAACTCGATGATTTTCAGAGCGCCTCCATACAGCTGGAATATTGCTGAGTGCGACGTTTAACAACAAGGAAGGTCCTAGTAAACGTACACAGGAGAAACAGAAACCAGGGTAGTGATGCGTGGTGTCAAATGAACAATCTATTTCGGTTTCTGCATTTTACAGTGTGTTAATCATGTATGTCTGAAAGGGTCACCATTTGGACTTACACCATTCCTTTCGTGTCCACGGTCCTACCTCCCTGGCAGAGGTAAAGGCGCTGTTCCATACTACCAAGGTGCACTACCCCTCGCTCTGTGATAACGGCATGA